AATCCACGGACCACGGACTATTAAATCTCTCTCAACTGACCTGGCGACATTACGGACTTGGATTAGATCAGAATAGAGGCTGACGACTGGGAATTATGTAATTATGACAATATATCTATATATATTTTTTTTTTGCTTCATTGCAAGAACACAACATGAGTGTTCTCCTACTATTATTGTTTGGCATAGCCAGCAGTGGTACTATGATGTATGAGAGCGTGATTTTTCAAAAGCTTAATGATATCGACTACTACGATCAAAGTGGACACTTACTTTGGTAATTGACTTAGAACCATACTATGCCTTCATGAAAAAATGTCGTAATGACATTGGAACTGTGACCTTTGTTCTACGTGATTTGATTCAGAAACATTTGGGTGTCAAGGCACCAAAAATAATTCACTTGTTTACTAAATTAGACGCAGATGCAGTTAGTCTCAACAATACCCTGACAGCATTAGGTAACAATTTTAACGAATATCAGCGACTGACCAGACCCAAACGATCAGTGTTACCTTTTGTGGGAAGAGCTTTAAGTTTTTATTTGAAGGTACGGTTTCAGAAGCCGATTTGTCTGGCATAAAACGAAATGTTCAAAACTTAGCAAATAACCAAGAGCGCTTATCTCATGTAGTAGGCGAAAGTCTCACTATTCTAAATACCTCCCGGGTAGAAATAGCTGGAAACAGGAATAAGATAAATGAAATTCTCGGAAAATTACGCTCTGTGGACAGACAGATAAGCAATATAGCATATGTTAAATATACGTATCATAAATTTAGAATGGGCCACAGCCACGTATCTCAAATTGAATTAGCAATCCAAGAAATAAGGGACACTGTTCATCTTCTAACAGGTTATCTAGAGCATATCAATTACAACTAAATATGTTATCGTTAGGACACATGTCCCCAAGTACTATTACCCCAACATCATTATTGACCATTCTGAGCGGCGTTAAAGGTACATCTACCCCCACGATTCAAACTTCCAGACGAGCCTAACGAAGCCCTTTGGGATTACTATAAACATTTAAAATGTAGCACTATTCTTTACGACGACAAAATATTGGTCCTTGTTAATGTACCTTTTGGATATTAATGGACATTTCAGAAATTTACAGAGTTCACAATCTACCCGTCCCAATCACTATTAACGAGATCAATAAGCAGGCAACAAATTCAGTTCACAATATGTTATCCCAGTATAGATTAGAAACAACATTGATCGCCGTAAACGCTAAAGCGTACCCAGTACTTACTGCTAAAAAGAATCAGAAAGCAATACTTGCACACACCCTATGTCTAAATATTGTTTTATCGAAAGTCGGTATACCCCATCAATTTGAGTCAATTGTGCGTTGTTGCCTTGTTTGCCCAAAATGCGGCCAAAGTAAAACTATTTTTGTGATACAGACGTCCGACCTCGGGCCTTGTTGCCACAGGCAACCTATATATAAAGGGTCAATGGGCTATTGCCAGTACAGATGTTTCAGTATTTACAGTTGTGTGTAAGGAAGATGTAAGACAAACTAGAACCCTCACTGTAAAGCCCCCATTAGGCCTAATAAGATTAAATGAAACATGTTCTGCCTCAATAATCATCTAACGTTATTACCCTATTATCACCGTGAAACGTACCATGCAGTAAATGATAATTTTCAGAATTTAATCAATAGCAGCTAATATCTCGAAATACTAATGCTGGAACAACTGCGTATACATTTTAATAATTTGACTTTCGGCTAAAGTGCCTGGGCGCCGCTTAAGGACGTTAAATACATTCCTATGAACCACCTGGTACAACAGTTACGGGATATAGATACCACTATGGTCGAGATGGATACAGGGCCTGTAACACATTGGGAATATTTTCTGGCAGTAATAGTGATTATCGTAGCAATGCTAGGGAATAGTAATGTATAGAAAATTTCTCGAACCTGGCTTGCCAAACTAGTAGGTGGTAGAACACAACCTGACGTTACATCCGATATGGAGATGGTACCGGTCAACACGGAGGAAGGTCGCGAGTAACACTTTCAGACAGCGAGTAGCGTCTGCGCCCTCCTACCGGATGGAGAGAAAGCAGAGGACCCCGGCGGTCTACAGCGGCGCCGGTTATCCGTCATCTCTATCCTGGACTCGACTCCTCTCCACGGGAGCAATAAGGACATCCATCCAGGGACGAACGGATGACAGCCACAGGTTGCACTGAGATGAACATGATACTGATGTTAAAAGGACCCTGCGTGCTAGAAGGGGCCCGACCCGAAATAAGCCAAGTGTTGCTTGACTCTCATGCTTTCCAAAACCTTCGGACTTATTCTTGGTGTGTACATATTACTAGCATCCTAATGTGTGTATGAAGATGTATCTAACGTTATAAAACTCTGGGTGCTTTGCAGCCCTGGTGAAGAGTAGGCCTGGCGTAGCGGTAGCCTATAGCGCCCTAAAGTCTAATGGACCTATCTTTTGAAATGTAAATTCCTCCACTGTGTGTTACTGTTGTTATCGGTAACAGTGCCCTACGAGCTGTGGTAGGCCAATCACAACTGAGCCAAGTGATCGCGCGGTTCACCACGTCTTGGAATCCTCGGACTCAGTTTGTGTGTAAATATTCAGCATGTGTGTAACTGTGTCATCATTATAACTGGGACCCTTCCCCTGTCAACGGATCCTGGAAGAGGAGGCAATATGTCGACCTGCTCCTTGTATAACAAAACAACAATACCAGTGTATGTGTGTGTTATGTTGGTGTGTTTTACTAGTAGCGCTTCCATGAGCAGTAACGCCTGAATTGTTGCCTCCACGGCGAGCGCCCGATAGCAGGTGGACAGCTCTGACTATACATGATACTATGTTGGTAATGGGAACTATATATCGTATATTTTGGGTGAACAGGAATTGGACTATTAAACCAGGAACTGAAATCACAACGCATGGGACATCCTCTAGACGAACATTTCACGCCTAAATAATTGGTTCCCCAATGATTTTAAAAGTGTGGGGCAGAGTGTTACACTATTAGATTGTGCATAGAATAATATCACCATATTATTCTCTCAGGGGACCGAAACTATAACAAACAAACAAAGCTATAAAACAACCTGGAATTTTCGGCCAAGAACAAATAAATAGTGCTTACACTCTCTCAGCACTGCTAGCTGTCGCAGCTCTGTGTATGAAACTGGCATATGGTCACGCCGGACGGTATCACGGATTAACGAGCTGAGCTCCAGACAACTGTGACCCCAGGCTGACCAACTGTACAATGCCGCCCTGCCACAAACAGGGTAATATCTCATAGTAATGACTCGCCTGTCCACTGGAGGTAGCATAGACGGTTCAAAAAACAGCAGTAACTCAGACTTAACAAGGGACAATGGCACCTTCCCTGTCCACTGGTGGCATGATGGACGGACAGAAATCTGCTTATAAGGACCCACTGTGCAGTGGTCAAGAGAGACTCGCCTCGACCGCCTCAAAGGAGTACATCTCCCTCTAGGAGCAGCATCTAGCCAGCCAGCAGCCCTGTGCTCTACGCTCTGCTGATGTTCCTGACCCCCTCGAGCCCTGCTGTCTGCCACGCCTTCCTGCAGCTCTGAATAAAACCTGATCACCTTCCTTTGCTGTGCTTGTGTTCTTGTTCTGCCCGTGCAACTCTGTTACAGTAATAGCGAATGAATTGTATCAGCTTAACTCCCCGCTAAACAGTTTGAGGGTAGAGAGGAACCGATGTGGAGCAGAAAGACAGTTGATATTGTGCTGTATGTAACGTAGGGATAGAAAATGATATTCATTTTACACCTAATATGTACTTGTTATCATGAATTTACGACAGAAATACACACCAGACCATTTTCTTGGAAAACAACACCTACAAACATAAGTAGGGGTAGGTGAAATATGACAGTCAGGGTTTTATGACTGGTTAGGTTTTGGGTTAGGTCTTTGGTGAAACCATAGGTTACATCAAAGCCGATGGTTAGGGTTTCATGATAAGGTGTTTGGTAAGACCATAGGTTAGACCCAACGATGATGGTAAGGTATTTGGTGAGACCATATATGTTAGACCCAAACATGGCGGATAAGTGTTTGGGTCAGACCCTCAGGTTAGACCCAAATAACACAGTTAGGGTTTTGGTAAGACCATAGTGTAGACCTAAAGATGGCAGTTATGCTTTTTGGTGAGACTATAGGGTTAATCCCAAAGATGGCAGTTAGGCTTTTGGTAAGACCATAGGTTAGACCCAAAGATGTGAGGTAGGGTTTTGGTCAGACCATAGGGTTAGACCCAAAGATGACAGTTAGGTTTTGGGTCAGGATTTTGGTTAGACATGAATTGTGAAAAATCAGCAGCCATGCAAAAACAGTTCATGTGCTTATAGGTTTCAGTAACCTGGAAACATTTCGCTTTAAGGCTTCCCATAGCTTCTGTCTGGGATAGGGTTAGGGTAAAGGCTTGGCAGTTAAGGAAACGGTTTACATAGAGAGGGTTGAAAACACAATTGTATGCTGGATTGGACTGATTTGAACATAGCTTAGTAATATATTGCAGTGAGGTATGTGCAGAGGAAACAGATTCCATCAGATATATCTTGTGTTTGTGGTGAGCCGAATCATCAGTGAGTGAGTGAGTTAAAATTTAGCGTCCAACATCGGCAATATTTCCCAGCCATACCGTCACGAGAACAATTAATTTTATGCAAGAGTAAGCAATGAGTAAACGAACATATATTCTACGATTAAAATAGTAGTAGGTTTAAATTTACTTTGAATGTTTTGGGACTTACATACCCTCTCAGGAGGACAATAATCTTCACGCTACTTCGACCCCCTTTGAGGGTACAGCCACTAACAATCTAAGTTACTAATCAAATCTACCAATAATTAAAATACATATATGTACAGAACATCTTATTCAAAAATCGTTCATTAAATCAATTTCTTTTAGAAAAACAATAATTAAATGAAAATTAACAGTGGTAAAAGATCCTTAACTGTCTTCACATTGAAGTATTTATCCCTTATGATGGGAATTTAACACAGTCAAGCAGGACATGCTTGACCGTGGTTCTCTCATCACAAAGGGATACAAAACGGAGGATCCTCACCTTTCAATAGGTACGCATGAGTGTATCTAGTGTGGCAAATGCGACATCGTCGCATGATGAGCCTCTTCAAATCTGGACTGACAACCCAAGTAAGTGTAAACCGATATAGGGTTTTATTTCATGTAATTTATTGATACCTACTTAGATTGTCCCACTTCTTCTGCATCAGATCACGGATGTTAGTTCTAATAAGCAGCTTTGTAATCAGAGTATGGGATCAGAAGTGGTGTCACAGATTTGTTGAGTTCTCACCTTAGCAGCAAGATCAGCTATTGTGTTCCCAGAGATGAAATGGGTAACCTACAAAGACGATGTCGCATTGGCCAGTAAGCAAGCTCATTAATGCAATTCAATAATTTCTAATAGAAAGTGTATGTGTACAAGAATGATTTTTTAATAGCCTGAAGACACGAAGAGAATCTGAAAATATGACATATTGTTTATATTTAGGGTGTTTATTAATATATTTAAGAGCTGTTGATATGGCATTGGCTTCTGCTGTGTGAAAATAGAGGCTGTTATCTGGTAGTCGAGAAAGAGATTGTTCTGGATCAATGACAGTGGGCACAAGCCACCGCGCCACCATCCTTGAACCCATCTGTAAATAAGGATTTATATGTAGTACCTTTTTCTTTTTAATTGATTATATTTCTTGTTTATATTGTTATCTCGTTAGTTTCTTAAAGGTTTAGTCAGTCTTAAGGTTGAGGCCGAACCATGATGCCAGGCCTCCCATAGAGGAAGATAATACTTGTGTTTTGTTGTACATGCGGCAAACGCTCACGCATGAGGATTGGTCCATTGTCGTCTCAGCCTTGATGTGATCCTTACAATGAAAAAGGTGTATAATGTCAAAAGAGAGGTTGGAGGAGATGTTGGTATTGTATGTATATAATGAGTGATGGTAAAGGTACAGCTTATTTATTATTTTTTTATTACATCAATTGTTTACATTCACCAAAGACCCACGGAGTTGTGATCTCCAGTCTCACATTGGTCTCTCTCTAGGTTCATGCACGAACATTGGTCATATCTATGCCATCCTCTTTTTCTCCCCTACCAGGTGTCCTGATGGACGAATTTTGTTTTAAAATCATATTGTGGAAACATTTTAGAGAACAACACAAGCATTGCTGCTTCAATAGAGTGTCACATTCATGTTCAATGACATTTTCCTGACAATTTGTTTTCACTATTTTTTCAGAATATTCTCCCATCACCATTCTTTGCTAGACCATATTATTGTTTGTTGACCTGTTGGGCTTTTTTTGGCTGTGAAGCCTATAATAGAATAAATGAAAATTAATTCTTTAAAGATTTAATGCCAGTTTGTGTAAAAGCGGACCTATTATACAGCATTTAAAATCCCATCCTTCTTCGATGTTTTTGTTTGAAAAAGGAATGATTAATTTTGCAGGTTTTATTAACCAAAGATCTGCCTTAAAACAATTTGATGGGATTGGAAACAAATCCCGGAGACTCGATGAGCTTTGTCGCCAGACACTGCTATTTCAAGGAAGTGATCTCAACACAATGATATAGCTGATAGGATTGAGCATTCGACTTTCAATCACTAATAACGATGGCATTGCAGTAAAATATTATCAAGATATTGCCAACTATTGTTCATAAATATTGTTCAAAGATGCATATGTTTGGAGTGCGAAGACGTTTGTCAAATTTGTCAATTTTATGGTTTAACATTGTGGAGTTGCTTTTCCATTACCGGTGAATTAAGCCTTTTAGACATAATGTGTTGTTGGTTAACTAATTTATGCCTTTTGTTTCCCTCCATCTGACGGGCTGACCCAAAAAACTACTTTTCATTTGATTTAGGCACATGTTGTCTTAGTCAAGCGTAATCCGCGATGATGATTTGTGTCAGTTGAACATTTGACATGTGTTTTATAATCCGCGAGGTACCCTGTCGTCGGTATGTAAGACCATGATTACAATTCATTCGACCCAGCTCTTCACACATCTGACTTCGTTCATTTTTTGGTAAGACCCTTTTTGTGCTCTCTTGTAATTCAACTTCTCTTACATGTCAGTTTTATCAGCTGCTTGGCCTTCCCAAGTTCTTCTTAGTCAAGTTTCCTGCTTCACGACCACTTCTTTCGGTTTAAACTTTACTGTCGCTTTAATCTTTACACAGTCATCTCAATCTGGAAATAATGCGGGCTTTTAAAGGATGTCAACCTTTTTGAGTGGCTGGCATGCAATGAGATTTCTGGTGATTGGTGATGTCATTCAGGAGTTAAGCTGCCTTGGTGAAGACTCAGCCCTTATAGCGAAGACACCCCAGACCGCGGACCACTATTGCCCTGTCCCCGTTATTTCCAATTTCTCTCGCTTTTTGGCGGGTAGTCGCTTTACTTGGCAGGGTTACTGTCTTATAGTGTAAGGAGTTACCGCACTCATGGATGATATCCTTTTGGGCAGGTTTCAATCCTTGCGCCAGTATTTCAAAAGGCGCCTAATCTTTTTATGGTTTGCGTTCAGACGACTATATCACGCCCCAATCCATTCTGTAGAATGGCCACTTAGGATCAATGCGAGGCAGGGAGGCTATGCCCGATATACCGAACATTCTTTGCTAATTTCGGTGGCTTTTCAGAAATGGAATATGAGGTACTGCCAGGGTGTCACATATTACAACACGTATCAGGTGCGTTGGCGTTTCCACGCCCCCAAAGTGGTCAGTAATGGTTGAGAGAGAACAAGGGACCGACACGAGAGGTGGCTTAAACAGTCCCATTATTGATTTCTCTGTAAAGTCAAATTACGAAGCAGCGGCGCGCCGGTAAAGGCCCCTTCCTTGTTGCTTTGCAACTTAATTCATGCCGACTTCGCACTCCGATTCCTGGCTGTATGCCGTTATGGTGATTAGCCGCGCACGGCTTTTGTGTTGCTTGGCCAATTTTGCTCCTATATTGGAGGCCGAGTCTGCGTTACCCGGCATCCGACTGGCTGATTCGCCCGCAAAGTTACGGCATGCCTTCAGCGGTTATTTGCACAACTCACGCCATCCCGTTACTCTTCCTCGATGTTTTGGGGACCAGTCCGCCAACCCCCTTGCTTACGAGGGCGCTGGCCCCACCACACTCCGTAACACCATCCTATACGTAAAGTCTGTGCTACAACTCTCTCCCTGCTGGCAGCTGTCCCCTCCAAAGCACAGCCACACATCTCTACGTCAGCACCCTTATTGTCCTGATGACTCCTCTTAGTCATCAGCTTCTGAAAAGCTTGAACGGACATTATGGACTCGTTATTGTTGAATTGAATACCGTCCTTCTTCGTCCATTGTCTATCGTCGGTCTCTCTTTGTTGAGTACTTCTTACCAATCGGATCTTATTGCCGAATCTTCTTCTCGGGTGATGGCGGTTTCATATGGTTTCACGTTTTGCAATTCATATGTTGTATTCTTTGATTATTGAGTAACTTGTGATATGGCTTCATGTTCCAGTATATTAACCTGTACCTATATCTCTGCTTGTTCATGTGTCCATGTATACACCTGGCGAACAAACAAATTTTGTTCTTTAGTAGATTTACGTATCTTGTTTCAATGTATGTTCTCAGTCCATCACATAGTCATCTATGTTTGTTAACGTTCTTGTTGTTTTAAACTGCAAAGACTTTACTTTGAATGTTGTGAGTAATAGCTCCTATTTTAACCTATTACAGGTATTACAGATGTCGTCCATGGTTAAAATGCAACATTTGATTCACATATTTATTGATGTCATGTTACATGGGTATCAGAGGGAATATTCATGCAACATAATGGACTCAAATTGTTTACAGCACGCAGTCGGCAGTCAAGAATGCCGTTATTGTCTACTGTAGTCGGTACACAGGTTGCCATTTATGTGGCTGATGTCATGTTTTAACATGTATTATTGTCCGCGATATTTTCAGTTTCTCCTTTTTTGGAGAGTTATGTACTGTATCTGGCAGGATTATTATCTTATAATGTCGAGCTACCTTTGATGGATGATATAAGCTCTAGTGAGCAGGTTTTGATCCTCTCGGAACGCCGGGTTGCCGATCTTTTTCCTGGCCTGTGCGCAATACTTGGCCTTATCAAAACCGCTCTAATCCCATTCCTAAAATGGTCACATGGATTATGAGGCACGTGTGAGCTTTGCCATTATATCAAACATCCTTTGCCAATTTCATTGATTTTCTGGAAATGCAGTATGGTCTTCCAGGATGTCACATCCCTACAAAGCAGGTAGCGTGGTGGGTGGGCATTTCATGGCCCACTCAGGTGGCTTATTATTAGTCCAAGAAAGCGAAGGACCGATATGAGAGGAATTGAGCCTCGACGGTCTCGGTATTGTTCTTTATCAAAGAAACAAATTACGGTTGCCAGTGAGTGATGGCAATGGTATGGCCTCTACAATGTTGCTTTGCAACTATTAGCCGTAATGGAGTGCTCCTGCATTTGTGATCGGTAGCAATGCAGCCAACTGG